ATGTATCCCGATCGTGATACATTTGAGCAAAACCCGCTCGGGATACATTACAGCACGTGATCAAAGCATGGTGGAAAGTGGTGTGACAGAAGACGAGAAAAACACTGCCAGTGTTTTTTTTTTCGTGAATGAGCACAACACAAACACAAAGCCTCAAGCTAAAAAGCGCAACGATTTTTAAAATTATCCCAGAAGAGAAACAGCAGCTAGTAGAGGAAAAACATGTAGATAGTGTAAGGAAAGTACTTTGTAAATCATTCATTCAGTGGTTTTGAGAATTAAATTTGTGTTGTTATAAGTACCGAGTCGACTGTTTTGATTCGCTCCGGTTATTCTTTTGTTGCTGTTGAAGTGAAAGTCTAGGAAAATAACAAAACACTTAATGTCCGGTCCCTCAGGAAACCAGTTAGTTTTGTTTTCCCTGGAGTCCAGGTGTTTCCTGCGACTTCGTCTCGGGAAACATCAGGAATCTCGGGAAACAAAACTAACTTTTTCCCTCGGGATCTGACATTAAGTGTATAATGTGCGCGGTCTAGCAATATGTTCGCAACCTCAAGAAATATTAAAACATTTTACTCTTTCTATCTCTGTAAATGGAAAGTATAGCCTAGCAAACCCCCTACGATTTGTATGTGGAGCTACTAGTTTTAAGTCACAGTTAAATAACTCCTTACCATTTTCTACTTAATTCCCCGAACAAACTTTTTTTGAAGAGAGAAGAGAGGAGGTGGGGAATTCAATCATTCATAATTTCTTGAAGGTTACTAAAGAGCTTGTTATAGGCCTATATATTTATTAGCATAAAAATGGATTAACCCTCAAAGAAGAAAAAAGCGATGTTCTGTAACCTATAAGGGAAACATAAATCTATCTATTTTAGCTCCATTTTTACATGTCTCTTCCAAGAACTGACAGAGGATCACTCCTATCTCTACCTCTGTAATTATGAAATGTCCAATCATCTTATTACTTGTTATAAGCTAGGCTAAGGAATCATTTGAATCAAAACAAAGACCAAGTTGGTTGGCTATTAAAACTATTAAGAAGACCCTCATGCTGGTGGGAAATAGTAGTTAATGCGTGCATGACAATATTTTCTGAAAAAAGTTTTATTGTTCTCTTGGATCGGTGCCCGACGAAAGGCTAGGCTATTTATAGAAAAACGATACCGTAGCTTGTGACAGTCTTCTTTTTTCATTGAAACGCGCTCATATTGCATTCATTTGCAAATGATATTGCACAAAGTGTGTAATTTTTATATCAAAACGTACACGAGTACTTTTTCATCAAATCGGAGCAAATCAAGAGCAAACGCCTGGCAATAGACTTTGTGCAGTATTTTTTTTTAGTTAATCCTATCATATTAATTGAATGTCATGTGTAATGTAAACAGGATATAAAGCAGGAGATGCTTAATGTGATGTTTCCAGACAGTTTTTTTTTTTTTTAAATGTTTTCTCAAGTTTACATACCACATAAACATAGACATCCCACGGCTTGCGAGAAACAAAGCAAATTGTTCTTGCCACTTAAAAGACATTTGGAGCACACTATATTCTAGTCTCTTGAAAAGGCGTTTTGGGAATGCATCGATACTCTATTCGGACTTGATATAGCGACAAGTTAATTTTTTTCGACAGATAACAAGAATATTCATGAACAACGCTTAAACAGGCGCCTTAAAGTCAATAAAGTTGCCACGTTTTAAAGTCAAATGTTGAAAATTATCAATCAATCTGGAAAGTCGCGGAACTCTTTAAGACGTTTGTCAGTTCCCTTTCTGCGCTACGTGGGGGTAAAGTTTACCGAACAAACGTAAATTTTCCAACATACAGTTCGCATCAGAGTTCGCATATACCACGGAATGTAAATAATAAGAACAATAAGAACAACAATGGCGGCTCCAAGCGGGAGATAACAAAAAAAGCTTTTCATTCAGTTATTCTGACAAAACTGATATAACTTTAGGTGCACTTGAGTTATTTCCTGCTTTGCAATTTATTCAAAGCAAATGCAAAACATGCGTAAGACAGATGTAAAAAATTCTAATAAAAAATGCCTTCATTTAAAATTTAATCACCTCTATCCTTTTTTTTTCTTTTTTTTTTTTCTTTTTTTGCGCTTCCTGCATTATATGAATAACCATCAATAAAAAAGTCAACAAATTGAATTTAAAATTAGCCTTTTTAATTCTGAGTGCCAGGAGCGTAGCTGTCTTTAAGCCATTAACTTCCCCAAGGTCCCCAAAATTTTGGGCTAAAATGAGCTTTTGCAAAAACAAAATGTTTAATAGGGTGCGACATTACACCTACAGTTTAATACATGCACTTGTCTATATTACCCTGCTGTGTAGGCGTATTTTGGGCGACGACATGAAGCTGCTTGTTTGTGTTCGTATTGTTGTAGCCACCATTTTTTGATTTTATGACAGAGGAAGGTTGGAGAGAGTAGGAATAGCAACCTTTAGGTTGGGGTGGGTGCTGATTCGCCCATTTCCTCCTCTCTTTTGCCGGAGTTTCAAGAAGGTGCTTTCGTGAACAAAAACATCCGCATGACGGCCAAAGAAAACGCCTACACTGCAGGCTATATAAATAATTCAAAATTGGGAAATAAATTTGTCGCTGAACGCCATCTCGGTTTTTCAATGAAGATTCGTTGTAGCAATGTACCCTTTGTTTACTCTGATTACCTGCTAGAATAATTTAGGTTAAAAATCAATCGTTGTTTTTGAAGATCACGGCTCCTGAACACCTAGTAGAATTTTTTATTTTTTTTCATGTTTGTTTTTGTTTTAATGTGTTTTGCACTTCTTATTGCTGGGACTACTCTAAGGAATTTGCCTCACTTTAAAATATTAAGTTGCCAGTTAGGGACAGACCATTATTTTTTGACTGGAGGGTGGGGAGGGTGGTCTTGATCGCCTCACCTGGAGACACGACTCAATCCTTAACTTCATTGCCAAGTCACTACAACCCGTAATTAATGTTCACTCTTCACTCTATGCCGATGTTAATGGTTTTCTGAATCCTTCAATAATAACTGGTGAAAATTATCGTCCAGATCTTCCTTTCGTAATTCAGTCCAAGTTTCAGTATGTTCTAGGATTAACAGTTGGTTTCACGTCTAACCTTAATAACAATGCAGCGCGTTAAAAAGAAAAATACTATTCTTGATCAAAGAAATGAGCAGAAATTACAGATGTGTGAAATTTGTAAACTGCTCCATGAGCTCCCTTGGCGTTTTCTCCGACGAATGCTCCACGTTCTCAGACATGATGAATGACATTGGCATTGACATGCAAAAAGCGGCAACATTATATAACCAAAAAAATGATAAATATAGCCATAAGAGCAACATATTACATCTTTTGTTGTAGAAATAGTAATTGGGATAGCCCATGAATTAATGAAATTTTGATTTTTTTTTTTAATAATTCAATCTCAAGAAGCCAATTTTAAATTGTCTATACGTAGCGAGATTTACAATTGTACATTCAAAAATAAAATAAAGCTTCCATTATTATTATTATTATTATTATTATTATTATTATTATTATTATTATTATTATTATTATTATTATTATTATTTACCTACTAAGCCTACGCAAAACAACCAGACGTCCACCATTCGGTGATCACAGCCAGAGCTCTCGATCAGCGGCTCTGATTGAAATGATCGCAAGAAACCAACCTTTTGGCTATTCGGACCAAAAACACACCAATGACCTTTGAACCTTGGTATTTGCTTCTTAAGGTATTAACAATGACATTATGCCTTTGGTCCGACTTTGGTTTTTTCTCAAAAAGAAATCACCAATTAACCCATCCGAAACTCAAACACAGAGTAGATGGCCTTTAAAATAATAGATTTAGTAGAAGAATCATTGAAGAATATTTATTGCAAAAAAAATTGTGAAGACGACCGATTCTGGAGAGTTCTCTGGAGATTCCACAATAAAACCATTTTGCAAGCTTAAAATTGCACAACTTATTTTTGTTTGTTTCACTCAAACCTTGGCTAACCTTCAGCCATGAAAATCCGTTCTATCCTGTTACAAAACCTCTTTTTTCTCTTATGACAATGCGGCTTTTAAAACTGCATATTCACTGGGTCATTAGATAAATATACGGATTGTTCGACCATGATTATTATAAACCTGACATTTTTCAATCATTGTTATTAGTTATAATTTTACTACTATATAACAGAGGGACGTATCGTGTCCTTTTCAGTACAAATCGTAAAAGTATAAACATGTTAGTTTCCTTCTTTGTTACCAGATCCGTTTTACCTTTCGTCTGGCTTTCCGAAGATCGTATTCGGCCTCCTATTACTGTGATCAAAATACCATAGGCAATGGAAGTCTTCTTGGATCAGGAGGTTCATGGAACGCCAAGTGTAATTATTGCTCATCAACCACTATTGCAAGCACTGGTTTTCACTGTACAGACTACAGTAGCAACGAGGATTGGTCAATGGGTGAAAATAACTTCAACTACACTTTCTCATTCTACGATAGATGGGTTGTAAGGTACATTCCTCTATTTAGTGTGTTTCTTTTTTTATCTTACGACCTCAGTTTCAAAATCATAAATGACTTATACCATGATCATTCATTTTCATACAAAATGTGATAATCAACTTATTTCAAAACAAGTTGCACAAGATGCGATTCAGTGTCAGCATCCGACCTAGGTCTTTCTATCAAGTGTATTTTTTAGTGGTTCTCTCGTCTTGTGTCATAATGATGGCGATCCAGTGCAGGATCATGACATTTTATCTGATATACTGCATTTTGTTATAGCTATGGTGGGTGTTGTTGGATATCCTTGTCCCGGTATGGGAATGGCAATTGGCTTGTATCGACCACCGTTAATCTGACCAGAAGGTCAGATAATGGGAGAATTAACTCGTCTCCTGTATCAAGAAGCCCCGCTATTGTTCGCTGGTCAGAAGGCTGTCCCAGTCAATCTCTAAGGATCCCTGTAGAAGACGCCGACGGAGATGTGGTTAAATGCCGCTATGCAAAATACTCCGAGTCCTACTTTTACACCAATAGTTTTCCATATGGCACACTTGATGAGGTAGTTAGTCATTTCTGTGTTAATTGTCTGTACAACTTGTTTCTACCCGCGGTATGGTTGTTTTGCAGGGTTTCTTTATCCCCCGAATTCGCAGATCAAATTGAACACTGAGTATCTTTATAAAGCGAAACAAATGAGAATTCAGAAATACAATTGTAAAAGTTAGGTCGGGAGAGTTCTCTCATGACCGTCGTCGGTATTTATTAGGGAGCTTAAGCAACGCGGGCGACGGCGACGGCGACGGCAACGGCAACGAAAACGTGACTTAAAAAGTGAATTCGCACTGCTTCAATTTTTGTCGCGCTTATTCCATCTCGTTTAATTCGTCAAATGTAATGGCAAATTTTGTCGGGGTGGAATTCTAAAGGACTGTATTAAAGTTCAGGAAAAGAAAAAGAAAGTTGTTGTCTCTTGTGTTCCCGTCCTCGACAAAACGTGAAATTAGGCACTTTCACGTTGTAGTCGTGCAATGACGGCTAGGAAATGTACAAAAAGCGTGATGCACGTGCAAACTTGCTGTTTTGCTAATCTAAACCAATTGCTTTTTATTTTTTGCCGTTCTCGTTGCCGTCGCCGTCGTCGTTGCCTATGAGCTCCCTATTGTTGAAACCATGCAACTTTAATGACGCCATTTCTTGTAACCATATCCTTCAATTTTCCACTGACCCACCCCGGCTTCTTGTCCTTCTCACCGGGGAGAGTAGCATTAGTCTATCTGCTAATCTTCATATTCTGAATTACCGTTATTATCATTTAATAAATTTTTTCCTCTTTTGCAGAAAAACTGTTTGTTGACGTATAATGGCAACGGAACGGCTGGTACTTACGCTGTTGCACTGACCTTAGAGGACTTTCCAGCAGGAACTACAAACTTTGACAGCATTACTCCATTCAGTGCGGTGGGGCTGCAGTTTCTTGTCATAATAAGCAGCCGTTCTGGTTCTTGTAACAATGTTCCTGTATTTACTCCTTTAACTCCAAACGATGGAGAATGCACCGAAGTGCAGATTGGTTCATGGTACAGAGCTGTCATTGAAGCCACACTTGCAGACTATTCAAAAAGGTCACCAAATTTTACCATTTTACTTCATTTGGATAAATATTTAAAGTAACGGTCTGTGTTAAAAACAAATGACTTATCTCTTTGTGTCCATAACTCAAACCCGTTATGCCGGTGAAGCAATTAAGGTTTTTGTGCCCCTCTAGATTGCAAAGAAGCCAGTCTTAAGGTGGCTGAACACAGTTTTGCGGGCGGTCAGCGGTAACTCGCTTGACGGCGTGTGTTTTAAATTACACAAACAAACATAGTGGCGAAAAAAGGAATGGTACAAAAAATGACGATTTCTCAAAATCTACTCATTGAAATTTTGTAATATTTGGCAGAATTTTTACTTTTATCGTATTTTGAATAATGAGAATTAAAAAAATGGAAGTTGAGCAGACGAATTTTGTGACACATTTAATAATTACAGTACAATTATATTATTGATTATCCAAAAACCTGTCTGTGAAAAATTGGTCAAATAAGTTTCAAATGGTAATGTTTAATTATAGTAAGCTGTGTGCAAGTTTATAGGAAAATCTAATGAGCGAATTTTATGTAAACTGAGCAAAAGTGAAATTTTAAGGTTGTATTCAATGGTCCATGTTGCCATGGAAACTACGCGAACGTCACATTTTACCTGTCAATCAAAATCTTTCATCAGCATATATTTCACTGACCAAGTTTCAGCTTGTGAGCTGCAACCTTTGTCTTGCCATTATTTGGCAAATGACATATATACTCACAAACTGCCAAAACTGTGTTCAGCCACCTTAATGTAGTCAAACTTGGCTTTTGTTGTTTTATTATTATTAATATTAAATTCGTCAATTCTTGGCAGGATCACCGCAATAGCATAGCCCCAGTTACTGCGCGGGGCCACTAACAGTCCCTCCCCATATAAGAGATAGACTACCACACCGGGACTACGTCCCCTACTCTTCATGATCAGTGTGTGGGTTCATTAACGTCCCAACAAGGGTTGGGAGACAGGGCCTACAGTTTATCGTCCTTATCTGAGAAAGAAAGAAAGTCTAACCGTTGTACATGTCTTTACAAAGGCAGCACTTTCTCCTCAGTTTATTAATGACCCTGGGTGTTGGTCCGACCGGGGTTTCAACCAGCAGCCTCCCGCTCGGCAGACCGGCGCTTATTTAACGGAGCTAACCGGGCGATAACTACCAACATTCAACTGATAGTACTCACTGTCTGTGGGCCTGAAGAGCTCCTAAATTGATGCAGATCTATATGAACTAATTGAAATATAAAAAGATTGTCGTTCAGGTTATCGCGATCAGAAACTAACCAACACATGTAAAGATCGACTAACGCGTTGCTGTAAATTCTTAACTCTTATTTCATTTTGAAATTTCAGCATTGTGGAGATAGTGACTTCGTCTCCACCTGGAATGCAATTTACTTCTTTAACTTTCCATGGAGGAGTCTATTACAGAAATGTCACGTGGTACCCCAGCCAATATCAAGTAGGACAGCAGTCGTTTTGCTTCAAAGCAGTTGACTCCTCGGGGTGAGATGGCGAAAAAATAGTTACTTGACTAACTGACTGATATAGGACGAATAGTTAATAGAATACATGTAGAATAATATTAGGTGTTTGCGCGAGATTTTCCAGCAAAATTTATTAAGTGTACGGTATTAATGAGCTTTTAGAACTGATATTTTGTCCCAGGAAGATGAATAAATTTCAGGCATTGGATGAAATTCGGAAATTCCTGGAAAATTTAGTAAGAATTGGAATCGATTTCTTTTAAATGAGCACTTTGCTTTTAGCATTACTGATTATTCAGTCTGTCAACTTAATTTCGTATGACTTTATGATCTTCTTTGTGAGGTTCATCTTAATTTAACGCTTATACGTTGCCTTGCCAGATTTTGTTTATAACATTTAGCTTAAACATTTACTTGGTCTAGAGAAATGTTTTTGCCTTGTTATGGGTGTTAAAAGGTAACAAGGTTCATCTCATGATCAGCAATGCAATGGAATATCGACTACGTTTCTGACGTTTGGCCCAGTATAGCGGCATAGTCCTGTAATAGGACTGTTGCTGACAGTGGCTACTACTTATGAAATGACTCCTGGGCTCAAACCTTTCCCGATGTTGCATTGTAAACGTTGCACAATCAGGATACAATTTTTACATTAAGGAATGCTTATTCTTTTCTCCCTTTTTCTCGTAGCATGGGAACTGAATGGCGCTGCGTAACTGTTCTCGTGGGAATAAGTAAGTCAACCTTTTAATCGTCGGTCGTAATAGTAAATCGAACCTCAAGCACGATTGTACAAAAGCAGAAGCGATGCTAAAAGATTGCTTATCGTGAGGTTCTCTTTTAAACGCGGTCCATTAATTACCGGCACAAAATGGTATTGGGTTCACACATTGAGTACCCGATATGTAACTGTGTAGATAGTCACTCCATTTCACCTTTTCAGGCGCCGTTTTGAAACATAAGCTTAGCAGCGAGTACATCTAGTACAAAACGGTGGACTGCCCCAGAACTAACAAAAACGGTATACAGACGGTGTCTACTTTTGTACCCGAGGACAAGATCTCGACCTCGGGCACTTTACAAGTGCCGTAATTCTAGAGGGGTACTTGAAAAAAGGGCGGTTCACATTTATTTAGTGCTCAGCCAGTACCGTTGGCACTGTGCCCGGGCACCAATTGTGAACGCTGCTTCACATAACGCAAATGTTATCTAACGGCCGAATAGATGGGGATGGTGAGGAACGTCTAGAATTGTGTTTTACACATAGCATTGATTTGCTGAGATTTTTTGTTGCTATTGCTGACGCACAAATTTTGTTGAGTTTATTTTACTATTATTTCAAAAAGAGCTGAATTATTTTCTAATTAACAATTATTCCTTGAAATCGAGGTGAATAGTGGCTGTTATTTACCCAGCCGCGAAAGCGGCGAGGTAAATATTCCTAAAGCCACTATATTCACCGACATTGAAAAGAATAATTGTTTTAGTATATACACACTAACTGATCTCAACAAAATCGGAGAGCAAACCATTAAAAAGTACGATTTGATTGACAGATCAAATCACGCGAAAGTTTAAACAAAGATCTTTGTAGAATTCAAACATGGCAATTCACAAGCTTATCACTTCGCAAACGACAGCGTAATGGCTTTAATGAAACCGTTAAAAGTTTGAATTGTTTCCTTACCCGAGAAGAAAAGAGCTTTGTTGTTTTCTGTTGACTCGCCAAGTTTATAGCTGAAAAGGTTTGTTGTGTCGTTCTTCGCATGAAGTGCTTACAAAAATGGGGGCTCGGTTCCTCGAGGTAAGACTTCGTCTTCATGTAGCATTCTTTGTCCTATTTACCTGAAACGTAGAATTTCTGCAAACAAATTTGTTTGTCATAAATAGACTTCGATTTTCGGGCCAAATTTTTCTTGTTAGGAAACGCTGAGTTCTCGAAACGGCCTCTTCTACGCGAATAAACGGGAGTTGAAAACAATCCATCGACCACAAAACTCAGTTACAGTAAATGGAAACACGCCGTTTAATTTTGAATCCTTCGAAGTCTTTTCTTGCCCCAAAAAAGTCAACCCTAGGATTTTGTCGACTTTTAAAAGATCGTTCTCTAAAAAAATGGGAAAAACACCGAGCTCACACATTATCCACTCGCTAGGAGGTGAATATTGTTGAATAGTCTGAGATAGCTAACCAAGATTGCTTAAATGACCAAGATCACTGAGTGTGTACATACTAATTGTAGGTAGTACACCTCGAGTCATTTGGGGAAGCCAGACTCCACAAAGTCCCCTCAAAAACAGCGGGCCGGGTTATATATGGTGGAGCATACAGTTTGATCGCGTGGTAAGTACAGCATTCTGATTAACGTTCTAAATTGTTGGTTGAAATACTGATAAGCTTGGCATAGTCCTCCTTTAATTTATTTAACAAGCATTAGCATCCTCATCATTTCATAAATAAAATGTTTAAAACAGAATATTGGCCAAGTTTTAGACCATATTTATGAGCAAACTTAACCAGTGTGGTAAGTAAAGGGTTTATTATGTACAAAAGACGCCCTTTTCAGAAAAAAATCGAGCGATTCCGAACGAGTGTCTCGCCCGCTCGTAGCCAATTCGAAAACAGATTCGCTTAATCTTGCATGCTCACATAACAAAGCCAGCTGTTGACGTATTTTTTGGTTAAAAATCTAGATAAAGAAGCCTCGCACTTCTTCCTACATCCGGCTGGTTCTTCTTCCCAGTGGTCACACAGTTCATAAAGTGGACACAATCTCTCAGTTTGCCATAATCAACAGTAGTGATCTTACCACCCTGCAGTTCGCAATGCCTTATGCTGCATTAAGTATGAACGGCTCGTACGCCATTTTGATGGATCGTGGTGCAGTGGTTGGACAAGGTTGTTCTTATGACGGACCACCCACACCAGGAATAACTAACACAAGTGACTGGCAGTTTACTGCTGGTGTTTGTCCCACCGGCAATGCCCTTGCTCCACCTGACTTTTCCAACTGTATCGGTATGTATAGTAAGCTTTTTCCTTATTACACATTAATTATTTATTCAATTTCTTATTGGTTAAAATTCCCCGGCTGATGACGTCAATTGTACAGGAATTATTTTGAATAAATAATGAACCAAATACTATAAAGAATTGTTTGAAAAAATTTGAAAGATACCCTTAAAGAAAGGCACCCCCCTCTATTCTACTTCCGGCCCCAACCGAGGTTAATTTAAAGGGGCTAAAAACACGGGTGACTTGGGTTGGTCGCTAGGTCTCGATCATAAATGCAACTAAAAGTAACTTCTTAATTACATCAGAGATCCCCGCTTACCGAGCTGGAAATTATCTATGTAAACAAGTTCGTCCCGGGGCCAGTCCGATTAGGGGAAACTAACCAGAAATCGGGCAGCAGATAGCACACTGCTTAGCTGCACTGTTTCCAACTACTCTGGTGCCCGCTCAATGTACTAGCTGATCGGGACCTCGGTCACCTCAGTCGGTAGATCCTCCCGGCAAACCAGGCCGGACAGCCCAATTATGTAATCAGCCTCTAAGTAACAGAAGAGTGTAAGACCTTGTTTTTTTCTTTTCAGACATAAACGAGTGTGGGTCTCCTTCGAGATCAAAACGTAGTTTTTATTATAATTCGTGGAGTTATGCCATTTCCTCGTCAACACAGTGGCTTACTGCTGGTGAGTTAATCGGGCTTAAACAATGCTTAAGAGATATTCTCTTGTAATGCATGTCAGGGGGACAAACGCACCTCACACGACACAGACGAAGATTCTTTAAAAAAAACTTTAATGGAGACTCAGAATTGCACTCGTCAGCACATTCTTGATCAACACAACAAGTCACAATCTCATCATGACTTACTAAAACTTCACCTTGTCAGTAAAAACCTACGCGAAAACAAAACAGGTGGCAATTCGTTACATGTATTATTATATTTACTGAAACAAACTCTGACGCACTTTGAATTTGAATTTCTTTTAGTCCATTCCACATCGATATTGATGCCTCGGTATCTACATGAATGTAAGTCATAGGTGGTTGCCTTAATTAACGCAGTGAACAACAACTTTGTCCTCCTGATTTGATACGTTCTTTCTAGATATTTCAGGATACTAGAAAAAGTTGATGTAACTATCCTTGAAGGTACTTTGGTCAAGTGAGCTTTAAGTGCTCTCCTTCATCTCCCGTCTGACAGCGGTGAATAAACAGCCTGATACTCATGCCCGATAGTTTAGCTGTGATCTTGACTTCCGCGAGTTATGGAACTAAGGTCCGGGATATAACGGGTCTCTACCCGTTCGAAAAATGTTAAGACAAAATTTTTGTTAGGAAAGATATAGTAATAACGTTAAACGCTTCGTGCTGGGAAGATATTCTATTCCAGTTGTGATGACCGGACACATCTATGTTTATAAAATAACTACGGATTGTACGCGGGTTCTGATTGGCCGAGAGACGTGTTTGCAGGAGCATATAGTGTATATAACCACACTTGTGACGTCAAGTTGTTTTGCTCAATGCATGCACTATTCATCATGCAGGCATGCGCACGAATTTTAAATTGAAACCTTGACAAGTTAGTTTCTTTATTTACCCAGTTCTTCATCGGCTGAAACCTAAAAAATCTTTACAAACTTGCTGTGTCAATTTGGTTTTGCTTAAGGTGACATTTAAAGCCAGAATTATCCGCATTTTGGAAAGTATGACCTTTTTTTCCGAAATAAAAACTGATGGCGCGTACAAAACTTCGTGTACAACACTACGTGACTGGTAGGAATGTCTCTTTTAATCAGTTTCTTAGACAAGAAGGGCTGCTTTTTTTCTCGGGAAAGTTATTTTACCAGAAAAGTTAGCACTGTTATCTTTATTGGAGGAGACTAACAAAATCCCTGCAGATTCGATTTAGAATTGCCGTTGCTGAGAACGCCCAAATCATCTTCAGAACGTTCATTAAATTTGCCTCGCTATGAGTTTGTTACAGTTAGGTACATCGCTTACTTCCACAAAACGCAAAGTAATAACCAGAATTAGAAGGCTTGGGCTGAGCAAATCAACTGACATCACATGGCGTCATCAGCCTTTCTTTGATCCTTTACTCGTTTCCAAAGGGGAAAAAGGCAACTTTGGACGGTCAATTCAATCCACACATACATGGGAGGCTATAGAAGGGATCAGGGATTTGACAATGGTCCTTCCGGTTATTACCAATGCGACAGGTCCTCAAACAGGATGCGCACAAGCAATTAGCCGGGCAAACGTCCCTAAGGGTAACAGGCAAGAATGTTGATGGCGGACGTGTACGGTGGTAACTACGGTAAAATTAGACTGTTGATCTATTAAAGATTTCATAAATTCACTACTAATTTTGCGCTAGGTTTATGATCATAATGTTAATTGTCGCAATTTCTGTTGGCGTAATTTTTTAATTATTATGATTTTGAATCTCAAATCTTCAAGAAGGAAACATTAGCGCGCTGCTAGTTGAGGAGACAATATAAACCTCTACTACTGACCCCGCTATCTATAACAAATTCCACAGCTTCAACAAGAACAATCAGCCCTCGTTACACAGCTTCATCTACTGCCTCGCCAAGTCTATCGCCATCAGTGAGTGCCAGTGCATCGGTTTCAACAAGCACTTCACCGTCAGTCAGTGCAAGCGTGCCAGTTTCACCAGGTGGGTCTGGAGTGTTGAACACCTCATGAATCACCTTCCGTGTACTCGTTTAATTGAGCGAGTTTGATACTCGATTCCAATTGCATAAGAGTTTAAATTGGAGATGAGGCCATGTAGTTCAGGGTGGGAGGGGAGTGAAGAGCATACGGATTCTGTCCTTTTAGATTCTACCTAAGGCTTTTCTCATATTTTCAAACGATTTTGAGACAAAACCTCCTATTCTTAGTAGCCGTCATTTTAATGCTAGACGTATTTTATGATCATGTAAAGTTGATATATTTGAGCTGCAGAAGAAGCAGTCTAGAGAGGAAAAAAATCTAATGAGAGATGGGCAAAGATACACGGAATATGGGAAGGGCGAACACAAATGAATAACACATAATGCGCTCGGGGGTGCGAAAATCTATTGAGTTCAGTGCAGCTTATCTCAAGCTCAAGTGTTCTACATCTTTTCGAGAAATAAATTCATCCTCGTAAAAACAACAAATTTCTGCTTTCTCCTTTTATGCCCAGTTGTACTCCAATTTCTATATAGCGCCACAATTATTCCGATCTCCCCCTGATCCAGCCTGACAACGAAAGCAACTACGCCGGGCCCAAGTTTCCACATGGTGACTCGGCATGTCGAGAACAGCAGCAAACCATGTTGAAGAGCATTTTGACGATCACTCCGATGATAGAATAAAGTAAATTTGAAATAAATATTCAATAAAGAAAAATGCAGATTTTTAACGAGGAAATTGACGAGATTTTTTCGGGAAAAGACAAATTTCCTAACATCTCAAGTGTTGGCATCTTAGATGGGGTAACAACAAGATCGGGCGTGTGTTGCACGTTTTCCGCTGAAACTTTTGGTTGGCACATAGAACAATGCTAAAACTTGGCCGTCAGGTAAAAGACAGGGGAATGGGGAAAATAAAGCTTAAAAGAGTTGTTTTTGTCACGTTTCTCCCTGTTTTTAGGCGATTTTTGGATTTCGGCCGATCAGAATGCTTGATTTAATTGAAATTAATGATTAAAAGTTAGTCAAAGTTAGCACCTTTTAATTGCTTTTGCCGTTCGCCTGCCTTACCTCTTACATGGACCATTACTTGATGAGTTTTAACCCATCTCTGATGTAAAGCAGCAGGGAAGAGAAAACCTGAAAACGATAAGGCTTGAACGAGATTTTGGTAGAATTTGGTGTTCCTCGGAGATAGCTACAGGCTATATCTATAGGGGGATGACACCGGGTTTTATAGGTTATACCACTTTGTGAACGGTGAAATCATGGGGAAACACACATTGAAGCCTCCCATATTTGTGCATGCATACATCTGCATGTAGCGACCTTTTTAATTCGACCTCTGTTTTTATGGTCTTTCGGTGTTTGTTTGTTTGTTTTGCCATTTAGAGATTCTTGGCTTAAATAATTCTGTCATTGTGGGAAATAACTCAGAATACTTGGCTAACTTAACCAACTGGATAAAACCCAGAAGAAATGAAGGTGATTGGAAACTCTGCTGGAGAGCATCACGTGATGGCAAGAATAGCAGTCGATTCCATTCCTTATGTGACGAGAAAGGACCAACAGTTACTATCGTGAAGGTTGGGAAGTATATTTTTGGGGGCTACACCAGTTTATCATGGAGTAAGTATTACAGTTTACTTTAACCGAGTTTAACTCTTCGGTTGCTTGTTTTACATATGCTGAACATAATTTTAGGCGTATGTAACAATCCATGCGCCACTTTCACATTGCCCATAAAATAGTTTTTCAAATTTCTCCTGGTTATTACTGTCGTACCAAGAGAAAGCGAAAAAAAAGTGCTCATGCTTTTTTCTGTGCGGGGGGTGGGGGGTGGGGGGTGGTAGAGGTGGTCACGGGGTAAGTGTATTTTGAGCAATGTGAAAACAGTGAGTTTAACTTTTCATTTTTATCATAAAACTGAGATCTTAAAGTTTAAAAACGTTTTCATTTATAAACACGTGCATTTTTGTGGGCCTTGGTCCAAATTATAGCGATCAAAAACGGAATCGAAAACAAAGGTACCGTATTCGGAAACGCACTCGACTGTGATATCTTTGGAAAGCGCAGTTTATTGCTTTATTGTGAAGGGGCAAAATCAAAGATTTTGGAAAACGCTGACGTCATAGCTGCTAACTATGCATGACCTGGATAGTGCATAATCGACAAACAGCTCGGGAAATTAAAAACAACAAGGATAGTCTACCTGGGACGAACATTTATCACCAGATATGCTTTTTTGATGGCTCGGTGTAGACGCTTAAGTTGGTTGTGTGAACCCGGAGCTTCACCAATGGGTTTATACTAGAACGAAAACGCTGGAGGTTTCGGGAAACGCATTAGTGAACATGCTGGCCGTACAAAAACCGTTTGTTAAATTCTTTGTATTCTTTATTTAGGTTCTGGTTGCCGCTATCAGTACGATCCACAAGCCTTTTTGTTCTCGCTGGTAAACAAGCCAGGATGGGCACCTATAAAGTTGAATCAGACAGGATTGTATGGCTATCGCCAATCGCATTCCATATACACCTGTTACACTAGTGGTCCTACGTTTGGAGGAGGTCATGACTTGGGAATCCACCCTAGCTACTATTTCTATTATACAAATCTCGGCTACACGTACAGTCCGCCGAGCGGCTACAGCTATAGAAGCAGCTTTGCTCGATCATTTCTGGCAGGATCGGAGTATTTCGGTCCGGATGAAATAGAAACGTTTTACGACGCAGCCTTTACTTCACAAGGTAGGTTGGAGGATAAGAGTTACTATATATTATATATAAAGGATATTACATGGTCGCGCAGAGATAGGAAATTTCTCTTCGAGTGTTTTTCAACACGAGAAAGGAAATTTCGTACCTCCAAGCGGCCATTTAATGTTCTATTTATTATATAAACACCAATGAATCGAATGCCAAACGATTTCACTTAAATAGTTTTTTGCTGCGAAAGGCGCGATTTATTATGTATCCATAGCAACGGTCATCTTTTCACATGTGAAAATAACATGTTATTTTCACGTGTGAAGATATGTTGTTTTCGTGCGAAAGTTCACCTGGTATTTCATTGGTGTTTATCTAATAAAGGGAGGTTCGTTATAGCGAGGTTCCACTGTATTTACTTTAATTTACTAATTGCAATCAGGGAGAACATAAAGTACTACAACAAATATTAATAATTATATGACAGTTGCTGACTTCACAGCTAATAGCAGGGCGTAAGAAGCTAGGGCGTTGAAACGAGTGGGGTCGAGCGATCTAGCTGTGATGCAAGGGTCTGGGTACTACCAAAGAGACAAAACAAGATGACGGACATTATACTGGACCGTCGGTCAGAGACATTGTCTAGCGAACGTTTGCCATTATCCCGTGGCATTCATTTACTGCGAGCAATAGCGAAGGAACAATTGCAAATTATTTTTTTCTCATGTTCGTTTTCTGTTTTGTTCAATTTTCCCTCCGCGAACAATATCTGTATTGAATATAGTTCCAACTCCGTGACCTGTATTAAAATTGTTTGACTTGGTAAGAAAATGGCATCACAAACTCAGATGATAGTACTGACATCATTTGTAGACTAATATTATCGGTTCCCTACTTCAGCTTAATATCAAGTTGTGTAATTCATCATCTGCTATGGCATTTATTTTTTGCCCCAGTTTCAAGGCCAGATGATCTTTTTTCACTATTAAAGTTTGGATTTGTTGGTGTACATCAGTATTCTTCTCTAAACACCTTATTGAGCTATCTCCAATATTGAGCATTACAGTTGGACAGATTGCGAAAACTTAAGTCCGGGTAAATTTAAAACATGATAAAATCATCATTATTTTTTATCTTGTACACTAATACTACTTTGTAATGAAGGATAAGTATGTGAAAAAAAATATAATTAACTGCCCTTGAAAAACTAACAAAGAGGTGGCAAGAACACAAATAAGTAGTCCAGCAAATATTTTTGTTTGATAATAACAGCTTTTTGTAACGAAATGGTCACTGAAAACTACACATGCAAGACATACTAAGGAACTTAAAAGAAACTAAACAATTAACATTCATAAGTCTTACATTGCAACCAGACAGTGCTATATATATATATATATATATATATATATATATATATCTTACAGATACAACATAAAACATTTATATAACATATAAATTCAAAAGTATATTGCAAACAAGAAAATTATTCGGAATTATGCACAAATGAAATACAAATGGCCTGTAACAGCTATTAAACCATTGAAAAACAAACTTTTTAGTGTGACCAGCAACCCTAGCACACTTGTATACTTCATGTCCTGTATGATTCAATTTCATTCTTGGTTAAATTTACTAACTGCAAGCCATGCTTAATCAAACTTGATTCAAAAAATACTTTCCTGTTTCTTTGTCTACGATATATAATATTAAGAGAGAGGATGTAATGCTAGAAATATTATACAGTAGTACAATCAAAAGATAAGGCACCTCCAGGAAATCGAATTGGTTCCTACTATTCTTCAGTCATTTTCTTTTAATCTATATAAGGGCGCTTTCCAAAAGTCAGAACTGGCCTGCTGGACCATGGTCAGACCAGACATTTTGGCAATGAAATAGGCTTTTTCCAAGAGGTTTTGCTGAAAAACCATCCCCTTTGTGCATAATATTTGGGATTTGACAGATCTGGATGGTTAGTTTTGATTAAAAATGAAATTCTCATTACAATGGGAATGGGCTGGCTGGTCGGTTCTGACAAATGGAAAGCTCCCTAAGAGTTGCACCTGTCCATTAATACAGACATTTTGTGCCAGTCCCAGTAGTTTCCATCTGAGAGCTGACTGTAGTTTGTGCAACACCACACTTAAGCCTCTGACCACAAAAATACAATGTTACATAGCAGTCTTAATTTATTCTACTTGCAATCAAATTAAGACCTCTTCATGTTCTTCTTCATATTCACGGTATTATGAACTCGTTTATCTTTCAGTGTGTGTTCTAGTTTTCCTTTCGGGCCGGGCACTCACTGTTGTCCTGCAAAAAATCATTATAATAACAAATAAACACATTGTATGATTTAATTTTACAGTGGAATCTTTCTGGGGATTTTTCTCCATAGGCTTCATTCTGTTTCTGTGCAATACAACCGTCCGATTTATACCACAGTGAAGCAGAATTTGTTGTTGTTTATGTAAAGACTGTCACACGAGATCATTCGAATGCAATTTTCAAGTAGAACTTTAAAAATAGTCAGAACCTTCTTGGATCGCCGTTCTGTAACCAAAAAAAATCATTTACCATCTTTGTGTATATTAAAAAAAGAAAAATCGCTAAATTGGGCAACTGAAATCTTTTATTTTACTAACAAGCTAAACGCCAACGTACAAAACAAAAATCTTGCTATCGCCATTATGAAGTCGTCACTTCAGAAGTAAAAAAAACCTTAAAGGTTCATTAAAGTTCACTCTAAAAATTTGCATGCACAAACAAAATTTATAAAACCATTACATATTTTTTTTTTGTAGCCGTTTATTATCATTTGGTTTGGACTGGCAAGATAAAACGCGACCTTCAACCTGTAATATTCGATAGGCCATTTTGACACTACATAAACATAAAAGGCGAAAAAACACCTTAACTTATAAGACTAACTATAAAATATCACCTAAATATCTTCTGTATATCTGCAATCTAATTATAGATTGCAGCGATCTTAATGATATAAAGCAATAAATCCGAACCTACCTCCAGCTAGACGGCGCCATTTCTCTTGCCCTGACAGCGGATCGAGAGCGGAAAGGCCAACCAGTTGCAGTCCTGCTCCGCATCACAGCTGAACCAGAGAGCGCGTATGAGCGTTTCAACGCCCTAGCTTCTTAAGCCCTGGCTAATACATTAGGTAACACTGGCTGCTACGGTTGATCTTAAAAAGATGTCATAAATTTGTTGACAAATTTCGCGCCAAGGCTCATGATATTCACGCTATTTGAAAAAAAATTCCACAGCTTCAACAAGAACAATCAGTCCAAGTTACACAGCTTCATCTAGTGCGCCGCCAAGTTTATTGCCATTAGTGAGTGCCAGTGCATCCGTCTCTCCAAGCACTTCACCGTCGGTCAGGGCAAACTTGTCAGTTTTATCAGGTGAGTCTCTGGAGTTAGACACCTCGCCTTCTGTGAAAGCTCGTTTAATTGAGCCGGTTAATAGATACCATTTTTATAAGCGTTGTTGCACCTGAATGAAGTAGAGTATTTCAGTGATCGGAACGCTATTTTTAATTCACAATGAGCGACCTGAGGTAACCAGTTGTCCAAAGATGTTAAGCCCCGTGCAAACGGACGCAACATTGTTGGCCAACAACTCCCAACATTGTTGGATGCTACATGTTGCGACCTCTGTTTTTATGGTCTTTCGGTGTTTGTTTGTTTGTTTTGCCATTTAGAGATTCTTGGCCTAAATAATTCTGTCATTGTGGGAAATAACTCAGAATACTTGGCTAACTTAACCAACTGGATAAAACCCAGAAGAAATGAAAGTGATTGGAAACTCTGCTGGAGAGCATCACGTGATGGCTGGAGTAGCAGTCGATTCCATTCCTTATGTGACGAGAAAGGACCAACAGTTACTATTGTAAAGGTTGGAAAGTATATCTTTGGAGGCTACACCAATTTACCATGGAGTATACGTAAGTATCACAGTTTACTTTAATCGAGTTTAACTCTTTGGTTGCTTGTTTTACATATGCTGAACATAATTTTAGGCGTATGTAACAATCCATGCGCCACTTTCACATTACCCATAAAATAGTTTTTCAAATTTCTCCTGGTTATTACTGTCGTACCAAGAGAAAGCGAAATAAAAAGTGCGCATGTTTTTTTCTGTGCGAGGGGGTGGGGGGTGGTAGAGGTGGTCACGGGCTAAGTGTATTTTGAGCAATGTGAAAACAGTGAGTTTAACTTTTCATTTTTATCATAAAACTGAGGTCTTAAAGTTTAATAACGTTTTCTTTTGTAAACACGTGCATTTTTGTAGGCCTTGGTCCAAATTATAACGATCAAAAACGGAATTGAAAACAAACGTACTCGACTGTGGTATCTTTGGAAAACGCAGTTTATCGCTTTATTGTGAAGGGGCAAAATCAAAGATTTTCGAAGACGCTGACTTCATAGCTGCTAACTATGCATGACCTGGATTTGTGCATAACGGAAAAACAGCGCGGGAAATTGAAAACAAAAAGGATAGTCTACCTGGAACGAACATTTATCACCAGATATGCTCTTTTGATGGCTCGGTGTAGACGCTTAAGTTGGATGTTTGAACCCGGAGCTTTCAATGGGTTTATACTAGAACGAAAACGCCGGAGGTTTCGGGAAATGCATTAGTGAACATGATGGCCTTACAGAGACCGTTTGTTAAATTCTTTGTATTCTTTATTTAGGTTATGGTTGCCGCTATCAGTACGATCCACAAGCCTTTTTGTTCTCGCTGGTAAACAAGCCAGGATGGGCACCTGTAAAGTTGAATCAGACAGGATTGTATGGCTATAGCCAATCGTATTCCATATACACTTGTTACTATTATGGTCCCACTTTTGGAGGAGGTTATGACTTGCTAGTCTACCCTAGTAGATACAATTTTTATACAAATCTCGGCCATACGTACAGTCCGCCGAGCGGCTACAGCTATAGAAGCAGCTTTGCTCGATCATTTCTGGCAGGATCGTATTATTTTAATCCGGATGAAATAGAAACGTTTTACGACGCAACCTTTACTTCACAAGGTAGGTTGGAGGATTAGAGTTACTATATATTATATATAGAGGAAATTACATGGCCGCGCAGAGATACGAAATTTCTCTTCGAGTTTTTTTCAACACGAGAAGAGAATTTTCGTATCTCCAAGCGGCCATTTAATGTTCTATTTATCATATAAACACCAATGAATCGAATGCCAAACGATTTCACTTAAATAGTTTTTTATTATGTAGCCATAGCAACGGTCATCTTTTCACATGTGAAAATAACGTGTTATTTTCACGTGTGAAGATATGTTGTTTTCGCGCGAAAGTTCACCTGGTATTTCATTGGTGTTTATTTAATCGGAAGGGAGGTTCGTTATAGCGAGGTTCCACTGTATCCACTTTTACTAATTGCAATCAGGGAGAACATAAAGTACTAAAACAAATATTAATAATTATATGACAGTTGCTGACTTCACAGCTAATAGCAGGGCGTAAGAAGCTAGGGAAGCTAGGGCGTTGAAACGAGCGGGGTCCAGCGATCTAGCTGTGATGCAAGGGTCTGGGTACTACCAAAGAGACAAAACAAGATGACGGACATTATACTGGACCGTCGGTCAGAGAGATTGTCTAGCGAACGTTATTTTTTCCCCCGCGAACAATATCTCTATTGAATATAGTTCCACCTCCGTGACCTGTATTAAAATTTTGTGACTTGGTAAGAAAATGGCATCACAACTCAATGAAACAGGCTTTTTCCAAGAGGTTTTGCTGAAAAACCATCTCCTTTGTGCATAATATTTAGGATTTGACAGATCTGGATGGTTAGTTTTGATTAAAAATGAAATTCTCATTACAATGGGAATGGGCTGGCCGGTCAGTTCTGACAAATGGAAAGCTCCCCAAGAGTTACACCTGCCCATTAATACAGACATTTTGTGCCAGTCCCAGTAGTTTCCATCTGAGAGCTGACTGTAGTTTGTGCAACACCACACTTAAGCCTCTGACCACAAAAATACAATGTTACATAGCAGTCTTAATTTATTCTACTTGCAAGCAAATTAAGACCTCTTCATGTTCTTTTTCATATTCACGGTATTATGAACTCGTTTATCTTTCAGTGTGTGTTCTAGTAGTCCTTTCAGGCCGGGCACTCACTGTTGTCCTGCAAAAAATCATTATAATAACAAATAAACACATTCTATGATTAAATTTTAGAGTGGAGTCTTTCTGGGGATTTTTCTCCATAGGCTTCATTCTGTTTCTGTGCAATACAACCTTCAGATTTATACCACAGTGAAGCAGAATTTGTTGTTGTTTACGTAAAGACTGTCACACGAGATCATTCGAATGCAATTTTCAAGTAGAACTTTAAAAATTGTCCGAACTTCTTGGATCGCGGTTCTGTAACCAAAAAAATCATTTACCATCTTTGTGTATATTTAAAAAAAAGAAAAATCGCTAGATTGGGCAACTGAAATCTTTTATTTTACTAACAACCTAAACGCCAACGTACAAAACAAAAATCTTGCATGCACAAACAAAATTTATAAAACCATTACATATTTTTTTTGTAGCCGTTTATTATCATTTGGTTTTGACTGGCAAGATAAAACGCGACCTTCAACCTGTAATATTCGACACTACATAAACATAAAAGGCGAAAAAACACCTTAACTTATAAGACTAACTATAAAATATCACCTTAATATCTTCTGTACATCTGCAATCTAATTATAGATCGCAGCGACCTAATGATATAAAGCAATAAATCCGAACCTACCTCCAGCTAGACGGCGCCATTTCTCTTGCCCTGACAGCGGATCGAGAGCGGAAAGGCCAACTAGTTCCAGTCCTGCTCCGCATCACAGCTGAACCAGAGAGCGCGTATGAGCGTTTCAACGCCCTAGCTTCTTACGCCCTGGCTAATAGGTAACACTGGCTGCTACGGTTGATCTTAAAAAGATGTCATAAATTTGTTGACAAATTTCGCGCCAAGGCTCATGATATTCACGCTATTTAAAAAAAAATTCCACAGCTTTAACAAGAACAATCAGTCCAAGTTATACAGCTTCATCTAGTGCGCCGCCAGGTTTATTGCCATTAGTGAGTGCCAGTGCATCCGTCTCTCCAAGCACTTCACCGTCGGTCAGGGCAAACTTGTCAGTTTTATCAGGTGAGTCTCTGGAGTTAGACACCTCGCCTTCTCTGAAAGCTCATTTAATTGAGCGAGTCAATAGATACCATTTTTATAAGCGTTGTTGCACCTGAATGAAGTAGAGTATTTCAGTGATCGGAAAGCTATTTTTAATTCACAATGAGCGACCTGAGGTAACCAGTTGTCCAAAGATGTTAAGCCCCGTGCAAACGTACGCAACATTGTTGGCCAACAACTCCCAACATTGTTGGATGTTACATGTTGCGACCTCTGTTTTTATGGTCTTTCGGTGTTTGTTTGTTTGTTTTGAAATTTGGAGATTCTTGGCTTAAATAATTCTGTCATTGTGGGAAATAACTCAGAATACTTGGCTAACTTAACCAACTGGATAAAACCCAGAAGAAATGAAGGTGATTGGAAACTCTGCTGGAGAGCATCACGTGATGGCTGGAGTGGCAGTCGATTCCATTCCTTATGTGACGAGAAAGGACCAACAGTTACTATCGTAAAGGTTGGAAAGTATATCTTTGGAGGCTACACCAATTTACCATGGAGTATACGTAAGTATCACAGTTTACTTTAATCGAGTTTAACTCTTCGGTTGCTTGTTTTACATATGCTGAACAAAATTTTAAGCGTTTGTGACAATCCATGCGCCACTTTCACATTGCCCATAATATAGTTTCTCCTGGTTATTACTGTCGTACCAAGAGAAAGCGAAATAAAAAAAAGGCTCATGCATTTTTCCGTGCGAGGGGGTGGGGGTGATAGAGGTGATCACGGGCTAAGTGTATTTTGGGCAATGTGAAAACAGTGAGTTTAACTTTTCATTTTTATCATAAAACTGAGGTCTTAAAGTTTAATAACGTTTTCATTTGTAAACACGTGCATTTTTGTAGGCCTTGGTCCAAATTATAACGATCAAAAACGGAATTGAAAATAAAGGTACCGTATTCGGAAACGCACTCGACTGCGGTATCTTTGGAAAGCGCAGTTTATCGCTTTATTGTGAAGGGGCAAAATCAAAGATTTTCGAAGACGCTGACGTCATAGCTGCTAACTATGCATGACCTGGATAGTGCATAATCGAAAAACAGCTCGGGAAATTAAAAAAAAAAAGGATAGTCTACCTGGAACGAACATTTATCACCAGATATGCTTTTTTGATGGCTCGGTGTAGACGCTTAAGTTGGATGTGTGAACCCGGAGCTTTCAATGGGTTTATACTAGAACGAAAACGCCGGAGGTTTCGGGAAACGCATTAGTGAACATGCTGGCCGTACAAAGACCGTTTGTTAAATTCTTTGTATTCTTTATTTAGGTTATGGTTGCCGCTATCAGTACGATCCACAAGCCTTTTTGTTCTCGCTGGTAAACAAGCCAGGATGGGCACCTGTAAAGTTGAATCAGACAGGATTGTATGGCTATCGCCAATCGAATTCCATATACACCTGTTACTTTAATGGTCCTACTTTTGGAGGAGGTTATGATTTACAAATCTCTGCATACAGTTATTATTCAAATCTCGGCTACACGTACAGTCCGCCGAGCGGCTACAGCTATAGAAGCAGCTTTGCTCGATCATTTCTGGCAGGATCGTATTATTTCAATCCGGATGAAGTAGAAACGTTTTACGACGCAACCTTTACATCACAAGGTAGGTTGGAGGATTAGAGTTACTATAGATACGAAATTTCTCTTCGAGTGTTTTGCAACACGAGAAGAGAAATTTCGTATCTCCAAGCGGCCATGTAATGTTTTATTTATTATATTAACACCAATGAATGCCAAACCATGTCACTTAAATAGTTTTTTGCTGCGAAAGGCGCGATTTATTATGTAGCCATAGCAACGGTGATCGTTTCACATGTGTGAAGATATGTTGTTTTCGCGCGAAAGTTCACCTGGTATTTCATTGGTGTTTATCTAATCGGAAGGGAGGTTCGTTATAGCGAGGTTCCACTGTACGCACTTTTACTAATTGCAGTCACTGAGAACATAAAGCACTAAAACAAATATTAATATATGACAGTTGCTGACTTCACAGCTAATAGGTAACACTGGCTGCTACGGTTGATCTTGAAAAGATGTCATCAATTCGTCGACAAATTTCGCGCCATGCAAGGCTCATGATATTCACGCTATTTAAAAAAAATTCCACAGCTTTAACAAGAACAATCGGTCCAAGTTATACAGCTTCATCTAGTGCGCCGCCAGGTTTATTGCCATTAGTGAGTGCCAGTGCATCCGTCTCTCCAAGCACTTCACCGTCGGTCAGGGCAAACTTGTCAGTTTTATCAGGTGAGTCTTGTTAAAGCTCGTTTAATTGAGCGAGTTAATAGGTAACATTTTTATAAGCGTTGTTGCACCTAAATGAAGTAGAGTATTTTTTTTTTTTTTTAACAACAACAACATCTTTATTTCTTACATTAAATATACAAATATCACACCACCTGCAAATAGCAAGGCTAATCGAGGCAGGTGGTGTGTAGACGGCTTAAGATTTATTACGAATAGTTGAAGTGAAAAAGTACCATATTTATAATAAAAAAGGTCAGTCACGAGAGAAATTGAGATAAGAAAATCGAGGCAGCTATTTAGATAAGCGGGGGCTAATATTTTTTAAAATCGGAGATTATCGTGTTTAGGTCAGCATATCTATCCTGAACTTCAAATATTTTCAACAGAATTGTATGAACTTTTTCCTTAAAGAGAGATTTTGAAGAATTTCGTAAATTTTCAGGTATACTATTCCAAATTTTGGCTCCCATAATAGAAAACGAATCATTTTTCTGATTTAGTCTAGAGTGGCTAATGTAATAATTTCCAGAAGAGGAGGAGCGAGTGCTGTAAGAGTGGATTTGTTGAGTAGGAATAAAGAGATGTGAAATATTATGAGGGGCAGTGTTATTGTAAACATCAAACATTAACATCGAAGAAAGCTTAAAATAGAGCATTGTAATAGGCATAATATTAGAGTGAAGAAAGTAAGGGACGGCATGATAGCGGAAAGGTGCGAAGTTAATTAGGCGCACAGCTCTCTTTTGTAATGTAAGGAGTTTCTCCAAATGAGTTTTTGCAGCCTGGTCCCAGGCAACGAGGCCATAAGAAAGATAAGGGAAGATTAAAGAATTGTAAATCCCGAAAAGTGTCTTAGGAGGAACAAAATGTCTTAATTTAGATAATATCCCGATGTTTCAACTAATTTTTAGCGCAACATAGTTAATATGATGTTTCCACGAAAGATGGTTGTCAATCATGACCCCTAGATATTTGACACACTCTTTACGTTCAAGGTTAAAATATTTCTTTACACGGCTATCAAGAATTTTAATATTGACGTCGTAATTTAAGCGCTTCTGGTAAGGATGAAAAATTATATAGTTAGTTTTCTTGACATTAGTATTTCAGTGATCGGAACGCTATTTTTGATTCACAATGAGCGACCTGAGGTAACCAGTTGTCCAATGATGTTAACTATAAAAGAATAAGTTTGAGAAAGGTTTTCCTCAGACTTTCAGGGTGAAGGGGGGAGGGCAAGAGAAGTGAGGAGTCTGGATTCAACCCAAGGATATTCTCAGATATTCTGAGACAAAACCTGTTATTTTCAGCAGCTGTTTATTCTAATGCTAGACTTATTTTATGATAATGAAAAGTTCATATATTTGAACCGGAGGAGAAATATTTAACAAGATAACTTAATTATAAGCAATAATGAAAAGAAAGCCTGCAAAAAACGGAGATTTTGGCAGAATTTGGGTGTCCGTTGGTTGGTGCGATGACGAGATCTGACGTGAGGTCAAATCATGCATTTATGCGCAAACTAGGCTTTTAAAAACTTTGAAAATACATAGTTTTTAAACTGTTTGCATATTTTAGCAATATCAAGATGCATGCATGACAGCCAAAGTGAATGACGTCACAGATCCTTGGCCCGTTAACGGTTATGCCATATCGTTATGTAAAACTTCTCACTTGCTACATATTTTACATATTTTACGTTTGGTCTTTTCAACATTACTTAAACACACAGCAAAACCCAATGGAGATTGCAACATAATAAACATTATTATCTCTTATGCTGACCCATATGGTAGTAGTACAAAAGTATGGATTCCGAATTGCTTTTACGAATATAATGCATCAGAGGGTTATAATTAACGCATGGATCCATAATTATAATTACTTTTAATAAGTAAAAACTTGTTTTGATTTTACCGCTTTAACCACCTTTCTTAACACATATCATTACAGTGGATTCTGAAATCTTCATGCGCTGTGCTTGGAGTATTATAGACCAAGAACAACTTAAGTCCTTGCAAAATTTTTTGCCACAAAATTGAAAAAGCCCCACCTGAGATATGTCAAATTTAAAATTCCTGCCACTACACATTCCTGCCATTCCTGCCTGCAAGAAATCTGCCATCCGACTTGTAAGTGTTCTAACTTACTCTTCCCAGTCTGGTAGGGCGGATCATGTTCGTTGTTGTTTCAAGAGCGCTGTCTACCTCTTCTTCAGAGTCACTGACACTGTCACTCGAAATTAAAAGCTGTCTACCTGTTCGTTTCTAGGAGACTCTGGGATCCTCATTTGAATTAGGTGGCTCATCACTTACGCTTGGAATTCTTTGAAGCATGAAGCCTCTAATGTAAATGAAGGGTGCAAAATAAATAAATCTCTATCCATCTTCGATCCAACTGTACATTGTAAATGAGCAAAATACTCACTCGATTTTCTCTCGATAACTTTTTACAACAGATTCACTTTATTTGAGTAAGGAATTTTGGTCAGCACCTTTATCACTTACCATCACTTTTTGTCGCTTCACTGTAGGCTCAAAATACTCACTGATTATTTTCTTCGTTTGTCAGTCACTGGTCTTTGTTGGATTACAATTATGAACTCGATGGAAGTTCTTTACATGACCTTCGGCAGGTCTCTTACATTTGTCAAGTTTGAGACTGGATTTTCCACATCTCATACATTCAATTCTTCCGACAGGCCGCCATGTCTTCCTTCTGTAACAGAACGGCAATTCTTTTAGCCTTAAATGTGTTTTTGGCAAATTAATATTTCCTTTTGGGTCACTCTCAGATTCATAAGTATTATACTTTTCGCACTTTCCTGTGGAGGTTGAATTTGCGATTAAGTAGATGGCTGTGGGTCGTCTGTTTTTGGCACAGACGGCGAGTTCTGTCGTAAAACGAATTGGCTAGAAAAAGGTGCAAGGGCAAATTTCTCACGTTTCTTAACTCCAGGAAATAAGTAATGCCTCGACTGGTCATGATTCCAAACTATCTATCCCATTCCCATTTTTGACATTTTATCCCCTTTCCCAGTGACTCCCAGGGCAAAAACCAGCCAATCCCAATTCCCCTTTTACCTCTTCAGGACTCTCTTTTAGTCAAACATACATGTAGTACCCGTGATCTAAAGTCACCGTTTGAGTTAATGCTTGGGAGACATATTTCCTTGACACAAACCTGTTATCTTACCATTCACAAGTAATTTGACGAGTTCCATAGATCTTCTCGACAAGATAAGATATTTTATGGGTGGTTTTTCGTAACTTTGTTTGTTTTCAGAAATATCTCCATCAAAAAGTTCTTCTTTTATGCCATTTACTATATCGAGTTCTGGTAAGTAGAAAATAACCTTGTTTGCCTTAGAGTTAAATTCAAGAAGGCTTGCGCTTTCAAGTCTACTGGGCTTGAGTGAGGTTTGTTTTCCTGATGTACGCCACGTGAGTTTCTTCATCGAGGTTTCCCTGCGTATCACGTCTTTTATTAAAATAAAACAAAGTAGAAAACTTGAGAGTTTCTCTCAGTTTGGATTCTGCAGGGTCGGCTAGGGTTTTGGGGTATACAGTATACTGGGGTATTTAATCTCAGGTATACAGTATTTTCATGCTTAAAATTGGATATAAAGTATTCCCTCACGACCAATTTTGGGTATAAAGTGTACCGTGTTTTTCTTAATTTGGGGATTTTACACAAGTTTTAGTATAATTCCTGGTATATTGGAAGGTTTATTTCAGGCATTTTGGTATTCCACTACCCCCCTAGCCGACCCTGATTCTGGATTCTGGATTCCATACCGTAGATTCCTCCAGGCTTTGTCAATGGAACTTGAATTCTGGATTACAATCGTTAGTGGGATCCGCATTCCTTGAGCTGTATTCCGTATTCCAAAGCCCAGGATTCCACATTCCACAAGCAAATGTTTCTCGGGTTCCGGAATCCGGATTCCCTTACATGGGGTGATCTACTGGGCTTGAGTGTGGTTTGTTTTCCTCGTGTAGGCGACGTACGGAATGTCTTCATCGAGGTCTACCCTATTGTGGCACCTCAGTTGCATTTAAAATTAAGTTGTAAAAACGGAGCTGGAAGATTCCCCCAATAATTTCTTGCTGAACGTGTAAAGAAAAGCAGTGTTTCTTAATGGTGAAATGGTTCAAAAACACTGACTGGGGGAGAGAAACACCAAGCTGGGACAATAATATTCTTTAATTCTTTCCTCTTTACTTTTGTGTTTATTCATTCCAATTACTCCTAGAATGCTACAATTACGGTTACCTGAATGACTCGGTACGAGGACAAGGCTTCTACAACGGATACTATGGCTATTATCAATGCGATAGTGGTCTTCCATTTGGCTGGTATCGATTTAGTGGGGCAGCAGGATCTCAAATGGCCACTAGTTGTGTTGGTAAAAATCGCTGCAGTTCGCACGCGCCGGGATGGTTAAGTACCCAGCATCCTTCAAAGGATGATGGGATAGTCAGGGGTACAGTGTGCTTCCACTGGGCTAGTAGCTGTTGTCACTGGTCGACGAACATACGTGTTCGTAACTGTAGCGGATTTTATGTGTATGAGCTTCGACCAACCCCAGGATGCTGGTTACGCTACTGTGGAAATGGAGGAGGTATGTGGCATCTCTGACGTTATTCGATACTATCATTTAGTCACAGTACACCGTAAACTTCCCCAAGAGCCCCACTTATACCCCTCCCCCCTTCCCCCATTTATAGGCCCATCCGGTAAACAAAAACATAAATCCAGGTGCAAGCCCCCCTCCAGCTTGTGTTGAAATGAATTCGACTTTTTACGACGTTTTGAAGCTTAAAAAAGCGATCAAATTCTTTTACGAGGGCAGTGTTTTACTTTTTTCCCTTCACAGGTAATAACACAAATTCAAGCTCGATTGGATATATCGCCGCTCAAGGTATGGTGTGTCCTTTTATTATAAACAAATTTCGACCATCGTATGGTCTCGCTTCGAGGAATTATGCCATCTTTATCACACCTTTTGATTAGTGTCTGACTCGTTGGGTTAGACACATTATGGTTGCGCACTACGGTTTTGAGCAGCGTCAACCTGAAATTCATAGCTTGCGAATACAGCCGTCTCCCCCCGCTCCTCGCCACGTCTGGTGCAGATGTCTTTCCTGCGAAATGTCCCTAGCCGCGAGGAGCGAGGACGGACGGCTGTATTCGCAGGCGATGAAATTCCGCATGGCAATTTATACCGTGCGCAGTTACGCTGGTGTCAGTGCATTACGCACATGTTGATGCTGGAAAAATTTAGCCCTTTCCCAGTTTTACTGCCCCTGCTCAATCAAATTATCTCTATTGGTTAACGACGTCTTGATGTTTCTCATGATTAATTCAATACAAGCATGAACAACAACAACTTGAAGTTCTAAAACGGCTCTAAATGTGTTAGGAACCTGACATTATGAAGTATTCTCAAATGAGACAATACGAAATTATGCAGTGACATATTTTCTCTGGTACTGCGTTATTTCCATGAGTTGTGTTAATCAATAAAACCTGATAAAACATCTCAGTTAAAATGTAAGTGTTTGATCTCGGATGAACAACATGTTTGATTTCAGACAAAAACCTGGTAGTATATTTTTTCTGATGTTTCGTGAGGTGTCAAGATTTATCCATCTGACCCAAATGGTCGTCATTTATTGGCTTTTGACTTCTTGAATAATTAATCAGTTTGAGAAGACATGTCACATGTAAAAACTCGCAGTAATGCAGGAGCTGCCAAAACTCGGGCTTCGTGCTTCATCACGGCTTCCAAACACCTGACACAGATGAAAGCACGAGGCCGTAGGCCGAGTGGTTTCATCTCTATCTCAGTGCTTGGGACCCGTGATGAAGCACTCGCCTTCGTTTTTGATGTATTTCATCAGGCCTCTAAACCAGGAACCAATGAAAGAAAGCAGTTGAAAACCAAACTGGAGACATTTTTAGTATGAACTGTTCATTGGCATGTGTCAATGAAAGAAATTTGGCAGCATTAAGCTACAAAAAAATGCCCTTTTGCCGGCACAATACTTGATGCCCAAAACATTAAAAAATAGATGCCCAAAATGATTTTGGCATGATTTTGTCTAGCCCTACTCACTCCTCCCCAGTCTCCTTTCATCAGTTGTAAACGGGCACGAGACGGTCTCTAAAAACGGCTTTGGTAGCAGACTAGGAACGGTTGAGAGAGACCGCGATTACGGCATCTTAGCAAACCATATTCCACGCGCTTCCCTCGTTCAGTTAAGGGACAAAAAAAGCGAATGGGGACAAGTATCCAGCGGATTTAAAGTAAAGACTAGATACGTAGATAATAGACCACTCTCTGGATTTTATTTTAATGACAAAATAATTCTCTTTTAGAAGATCATAAAAAAGGCTTACTTTAAGATGTTGATCTGAGCAACTTAAACAAAGGTGTTTATGTTACTGTTTTCATTTGCAGCAATGACTAAAACAGAGTCGGTATCTACTAGTTCACTTTATGTTTATGGTAAGACTGGCTTGATTTACAGCAATCAAACTGCGTACCTTTTCCATTGCCATGATGCATAATGTATATGTAGAACTTTGTCCTGTGCCATGCCTCAGTTTAACTTGATAATTAGCTTAATGTTTAGTCGAGGCAAATGATCTTTGTTCGGAAATGATCCGGCTTTGGTCTCATACATAAAAATAAGCCTTAATCCTTCAAATAGTTTTTTTTTTGTTTTGTTTTCGACTAGTTTCAGATCAGTTGGAAGTCGAGTAGTAGGACGGGAAAGCCCGGGGGGGGGGACCGCCATATATGCATATATGGGCTATATAGGTATGTGCCGCTGTGAAGGGTATGGTTTTCAAGCAGTTTACTCTAGGAATGAAAGGGTATATAAATCAGAGTGTTTGGGTCTAGAATAGGGTATCATTTTTCAGGAAACTGATCAGTTGGTTGGAGATTTTATCTAAACTAGGGATTGTGGTATAAGGTTTTGTTTTATTGGCTAGACTGAGTCAGTGACCTCAGTAGTTTCTGGAAAACAGCTGCTTTAGGATAGGGGGATTTAGGGAGTTTACTCTAGTATAGGGTAGCAAAATTCGGCTGAACTAGCTCTGGTATAGGTTAACGGTTCCAGGGTCCCAGCGGCACATCCCCACCCAGAAATTCCTAAAGTACTCCCCTCCCCCCCGGGCGGGAAAGATACGGCCCCCCCCCCCCGGGCGGGAAAGATACGGATAGGAAATGTTCACACCCTTTGCTAATCTTTGTCAACATTCCCCACTTTTTTCAAAGATCGAATATTTTTATACGGTAATTAACATCCAATTCGTTTTTATGCAGCTGGCCAAATTGCTCCATCTTCATCGTCTGAGTATTATGCACCATCTAGTTCGTATGCGCTTCCACCTCCTTTGGACTTCCAGTTTCATGTGCCAGCGGATTGTGATCAAATCTGCACCAACACTCAAGGCAGCTATAGCTGTTCTTGTGTCAGTGGTTATCGACTGTCTTCCGATGGAAAATCCTGTTTAGGTGAGGTCCCACTTTAAAAATGGAAGTGCTCAAATCATCTGAGATAGTTCAAAGAACCAAACCTTTCAAAGAGTTCAAAGATACAATCCTTTGTTTACACAACTTGAATTCACAAAATAGTTTTCCACGAATAAAATACTAGGTTTCTACTTCTTGTACATTTTGGCTGGTACTTAAATTTAACTGTCAGCTTGAAGCATTTATGGCTTTTTTGGTTGAGATTTGGTTTGACATTAAACGTACTCTTCATAGATATTGACGAATGTTCTACGAACAATGGTGGCTGTAGCCATCATTGCTACAATATTCCTGGATCATTTTATTGTGGATGCCCTCAAGGTACAACAATGGCCAGCAATAATTTGACTTGTGTTGGTAAGTTTGGTCGCGTTTCATAACGTGCAAATTAATAGGCCATTTGCAAGATGAGATCATTTTACTACTACGACCAGAATCCTTCAGGATTTTGCTTTCTTGTGTAAATTAGCGCTTTTGTTAATTAAACCTCACTGGAATTACTAAATCTGAGTGTGAAAGGAAAAACGTAATGGATTTTATTCGAAGTAGTAAAATTGTCGCCATGTTCAGGCCAAATTTTTAATTAAAAAAAAGTGCAAACTAGCGTATTCTGCGAAGATATTTTCTGCAACGAGATTTATCTTGATGCCTTGTTCATTTTAGAACCCGGCGTTTCAGTTGCATGTGACGAGAACAACATGACCATTTCTTTGGAGAAGCAAACATTTCCATTTTTGAACGTCAGCAGTTTACATCTACGTTATGTTTCATGCAGGTAGTGTATAATTTTAGTACTGAATACAAGAGCTCATGAGTCGATTTCTAAAAGGCTGATTAGCGCTAATCCGGGATTAAATTTTTTGTTCTGTATTTTACCTTGCTATGTATTGCTTTGTGTTATCATTACTCAGTATCTCGGAGTAAAGGCTAATCAATATTTTGTAACGTCGAGTGGCATGTTCTTAGACAAAAAACATGGCTTGAAATTTGGCTTCATCCTGGGTGAAACTTAACCATCTTTTAAGGAACTGGGCCCAGCACTGAATGTACCGCCACCCGCACAGTTCAGTTGGGCGAGCGCCTGTCTGCCGGGCGGCAGGTGGTGGGTTCCTCTGACCAACTACGAGAGTCTTTTAGAACACTGGTGGTAAGATCACGCTACCTGTGAATATAGCAGATCTTGTCTCTGTTCAGATGTTCGCCTCATAAGATGTGACGGTTAGCCTTGTCTCCTTCATCCTTCTTTCATTGGTGAAATCATATTAAGGGGTCATAAATGACCCACACTAGTCTCTTGTTGGAAAGAATAGAGAATTTTCCTGGTGGTATGGTCAAGGTGTGGCCAACCTTCATATCATGGGCTGGGTGGGTTACAGTAGGGAGCTTAAGCTACAACGACGGCGACGGCTACGAAAACGTCACTTAAAAAGTGAATTCGCGCTTATTCCATCTCGTTTAGTTCGTCGACCGGAAGCAAGCCCCTTCCTCTTTTAATTTGCCATGATGCTTCCAAATTTGTATTGGTAAGCGTTTACAGTCTCATAAAGACGATTTGACCGAAACTCTGGGCAAAATCACAGCCCAAAAATGAAAACAGTCCAGTTGACGTGCGTCGCTCAAAAACGTCTTTGTTTAAGCTCACTAATATGGTATGCTGACGTCCGACCTTACTGTTAACATACCGTAAACCCCCTATCAAGCTCCCTCTCTCTAATAAGCCCCCCTACCGTCCCCCTAATTATTATTCACTAATAAACGATAGGCTGTTTTAATCAATCAAAACTGTAAAACTTCATTGGGACTGATCCAATATGGTTTATTCACCAACTGGAAGTTAGGATTTTTTTTTGATCCTCGGCTGCGTGACCTACAGCTGCACAACGTCTTGTACTTGAGCTTTTCCACTTTGTATTCTAGTTCGTTATGGAGAACTGATACTAAATTAAATACGTACCCCATCTCTATTAAGCCCCCCACCCTCCTCAAATGTGTTTGAAATTAATAAGCCCCACTGGGGGCTTAATTGAGGATTTACGGTAAGTACGATGAGTATGATCGTCCGGGTGAACGTAGTCCTGAATAGGACTGTTGGTGACAGTAGGGAACTTAAGAACCACGACGACGGCTTGGTCGACGACGACCGGAAGTGAGTTACACTGTACTGCGCAAGCGCGACTAGTAAATTTCGTCGTCGTGGTGTCGTCGACGACGCCAAACAAAGTAGAATCACGTCGTCCTGCAATCCACGAGCTTCGGCAGGTATAAATCCACTGTTTTAAGCAATTTTTGAAGGCCTTTGCATTTTCTTGTCCTCCTAAATCAAGGTATCGTTCCTATTTTCTCCAAACGAGCAATGTTGATTGAAAATTCGACAAATGAATTGATTTTACTTTGAAGAATGACAACTGCTGAGGAGGCCGAGCGAGCGAACTCGTAAGTGAATTGTGATAAATTTATTTGTACGTATTTAGGTAAGGCAAATCATATATCTTTAATATAGAGGAAATAAACTTTATATGGAAAACAGCTATCACATCAGAATGTCTCTTTTTCGAGATCTAAAATCTGACGGACACTCGGACTAGGCTATCTCATTCAAGTTGAAAGTTGAATAATTTCGTACGGAAAGTAGGTGTATTTCCACTCGAAAAAGTCAGACAACACAAGAAATTTTTCATCGCCAATGAAGTTAGACGTACGGCTTGAACAAATAAGATCTTGCGTTGTTATGAAAGACGCCATTGCGAAAAACTTTGTTGCGAACGAACATGACAGTTTTACATCTGTGTTTACATTCAGTGTCGTCGTCGTCGACCTACCGACCGACCGCATCTTAACTTTCCTTTTTCCGGCCGAAACCGACGTTCTCGTTCCAGTCTTTTCCCAGTCAACAGACGTCGTCGTCGTGAACTTCGTCGTGGTTCTTAAGTTCCCTAATGACTGACGTTTCGACGACCTATGCGGTAGTCATCTTCAGAGTTAAAGTAAGTTGTATCAGATTAGTTGATGGGATCAAACTCTGGTTATTGACCTGATTGGTGAATTAAGCCGCGATGTCATTGGTCATCTGTCAGTTATGCCGTGATGTTATTGGCTATGAAGACTCCTAATGTCATTGGTGCGTTTCGATCCTTCTATTGTCACAGTTTAATTGTTACGTATAGTCAAATCGTCGGTTGTCCAGTCATTCTCTTGTTTTCTTGTAGCTAGTTTTCCTTGAGTCCGTCATGAACCGTTTTTAAGGTGCAGGTAACAGTTGACTAGGATTCGGTGGCCTTTGTTCTAAGTTAGTAAACCAGTGAATCGTTGAGAGTAGTTTGTAGAATACGTAATCATGACATGTCGCAGATCTAGAGTCCCAGTCGATTTGATGTCTCGTCTGTAAATGGTGTTGAGCAATGTGATTGTTGACGTCATCATTTATTGTCGCTCGTTAGGCTAGCTAACAAGTCAGTCAGTTTTCAATCCGTTTTTATCTTCTTCAAGTTTTTCCATCCGTGCCTGCTTTTTGTATTTGCGTTGTTATTAATACCCAACCATTACACAAATAAATAATACAGTAATAAAAGCTTTATCCAATTATATGTTTACATTTTATTTATTTTGTTTCTACTTCTTGTCTTTAGAGCTACAGAGAATTCTACACACGTCTTACTCAGCACCCCTTTAAATTCCTGCGGAACACTGGTGAATGAAACAAAAGACGCATTAATCTTCTGGAATGAAGTCCAAGCAGATTCTGTGATTGTTGACAATGTCATCAGTCGGACACACGATATCAAATTTAAATTTTACTGCAGCTATTCCAGAAAGAAGATGCTAAGCATTCAATTTCAACCCAAGCATATTTTCATTGGATCAGAAGGTTCTTTGATTATACATGTACTTTATTCATTTTTTTTCTCTCAACAAGAAATATTGAAATTGAAATTTTAGACACACTTTTTTCCCCTCTATTTCAGTTCAAGGACAATTTTAAGCCTTCACGTACAAGTCATTAAGCTTACTTACTGCTTACATGTCACGTGATTTACAAGATCAATGTTTTCATGAATCTGTTCACGATAAATGGTGTTTACGCAAAGGCGTTTGGCAAACTGAAGTTGGCACTGCCTAAACTCCGTTTATGCAACTAGGTCCTCTGTGTTTCAAGTAAAGTTCGGTGGATGATTCAGAGTGCATGCACGACGGGTCGGTTGATCAGTCTTTTAGTCAGCTCAATCCCCTGAAAAAGGATAATTTAATTCTATTCCGGCACCGTCATAAGTCTACCCTGAAGTCATCAGATCATTGAACTTACCTAAGACAAAACTCACGTCTTTCCCTTCACAAAGATGAAAATATTCGACCGTGCCTTTAAACTGAGCGAGAGAATAGGGCCACATTGACCATACCCAGAAAACTGTCAATGTCCAAAGGATTTTTGACGGAGTTTCTATTTCCAAACCAAAAAGAAGGCTGATCTTAATTATATTGTGCTTCCTTTCTTAGCTGGATATGGGAATTTCACTTTCAAAATGGACTTTTACAAGACTGCAGCATTTGCCACTCCCTATGCGGAGAACGACTACCCTATATTGGTCGCGTTAAATGAGTATCTTTACGTAAAGTACAGTGTGGAGTCCAGCGCTAACCTGGTGATCATGGCCGAAAACTGCAAAGCCACAAAAAAAGGAAGTTTCTATTCCTGGCCTTACTATACCATTATACAGAATGGGTGAGTATAACATACATTCAGGATCTAGGCTAAAAGTCTTCCCTCATTTTCCTCGGGGAAAGTTGAGAGGGCGAGGTAGGCGTGAAAATTGCCTCGCGCGGAAGATGCGAGACGCGTGTCACAGGTTAGGGATTTTCACGAACGCTCGCCTATTTTGCTTAATCTAGTTACTTAACCGCGGAGGAACAGAAGGGAATACCCGTAGTTTATTCCTGAATAAGAAGAAAGGAAAACGTCTGTTCGAATGAGTTTATATTTCCATAATTTTATCATCTCCATTCACCTTGACTCTTAGGCAAGATTTACGTCGTTTTCCCCAGGTCTTGCTGTTCCTCCACTATTGCCTGTATTGCGGGCTCGATTCCCTGAACTGTCCCTGGCCTGGTAATCGAGCTTATACTTGATCATCATTTAAAGAGCTCATGAAGTTTGATATCGTATCATCATTAACAACTGCTAGCTCGTATTTACGAGAATTTTGCATCGGCGCAGCACTAGAGTAGCCTTTGCGACGGAGTTAATTTTCATCTTCAAGTAGAGCTTAATCTTGATGGGATAATTTTGAGAAGAGGAACGCTCAGAAACATCCATAGTATAAAACTAAAACACGTTTCTGTTTTTAAACATTACACACTAGTTGCGAGCGAGATACAACTATGGAGTACACGTTTAATCCATCAGGGAGTTCTCAGCAGTTTAAAATTAGAACGTTCAGGTTCTTCAACGACTATGACGTTGTTTACTTCCACTGCGAGTTGTTGGCTTGTTACAGATACAATTTTAATTCCAGGTATGTCTATAGTAAACCCTCCCTGTTACACCGAAGGAGCAATACTTAATCTGCGAACACCGAATTGAATGATATTTTTATTCCATTCTTGCTTTTTATTGCAATGCAATAAAATTGCAATTTCAACTGAAATGTTCTTGCTGTATTTAGCATATCTTAAAGCTCATAAGCATGGTACACAGATAACTACATTTGCAAGACCCTGAATATCTACAAGTAAAATGTTAATCGAAATAACATATTAGCTTAAAAAGACTGGCGATCTCCACTCTTTATGATAGTTTCACGACGGTTGCTTCAATCCTACATGTCTTGCCGCCAGTGAGATTTGCACCATATCAGAGATGCTAACGGCTCTGGTGATCTAAAATCTGGATACTCTCTATTTAACAATTATTCCACGAGTGCGCCTTAGACATGAGATGGTAGATGGCCAACAAGCGCGAGTGGAACAATTGTTCAGTTTATTAAAACATCCGCAAAATATCGAGAATTCTTCCCTACTATATTTGTAAAACCCACCAATTTTCAGCTTGTTTTTAATTTTGAGCAGACGTGTAAAGTTGCCATATTTGGAAATCATGGTATAATGGCTCGTATACATGTATACCATGATGGCTAAGCCAATCAGAGCTCTAGCGTGCATTATCCAATGATTCAGTTTTTAACAATTTGTATTATCCCCGGCCCAGTATCATTATCCCAAAAAAACCGTCTTACGAATAAAAAAATCGAATTTTAGGGGTGAATGGGCAAAACTCCAAACTAGAGCATAGAAAAGCTCAAATGTCGATTTTGTCCGGGAGATTGGTGCCGTATCCGGGAAACCCCAGAAAATCCTGAAGAGTTGGCGCAATAATTATGCAATATGAAAGCGGTTGACAAAAGCAAAGTAAGACACTTTGTAAGCCAAAGGTTTTGTTTACAGATGCAGCAGGGGTTGTTTAAGTAGCAAAAGGAGAAAGAAACGGGACGCAGTTGAGGAGGAAAGTACAAGCAGACATATTCTCTCCAGCGGCCCAATTATCATCAAGAAGACGGAGACGAAGATAGAAAAACGTGACGCAGGAGGTAGGCCGCACAGACAACTGAGGGTGTGCTCGATGGACCGTATCCTGGACTAAGAATGAATGAAATAGACTCTAGAAATCACTTAGTTTGGCTTTCATTGCATTCTTAATTAAATAGGCTTTGATAGATTGTGCTCGGAAAAGTAACTGTGCTCGTATATTTTTAAAATTATGCCAATAATTATGCTAGTTTTTGTAAATTATGCACTTTTTTGCAAAGTATGCAGAAATAATGCCTCTATTTTTTAACTTTTAATTTGCTAAAAATACCCTAATAACTATGCAAATAACAAGTAAAAGGTAAACACATTTACTTTCTTTACATCCAGAAACATTACGAGTTACATAACTCATTTTCTGAAAACTGTTAAAAGTCCCGAACCAGTCCTAGGGGAGTTGAACACTTTTCTGTTTTGTCGCAGGAATTTGCATAATTGCTGGCCACTTTAGTGAATACAATACACACTCTATATCCGTCTGCCACTTATAATAGCTTTCCCTTCTCTTTCCTGTTACCTTAAGACTTGTCTAACTATGGAGGTTTATTTTTTTCCTTTGTGATAGATACTGGGAAAAGCCAACAAACTGCTTTGATTGGTGGTGCAGCGGCCGTGGGGGGACTGGCCCTGATTGCTATCATAGCCTTGGCTGTTTTAGCTGCTAAATACCGCATTGCACGAATATTCATGAACAGGAACAAGGTCGGAGACTTGTACACTACCCAAGATGAACAGATGAGTCGACGAAATGCCTACATCCAAGAAGATGACATGATCGAAAAGGAAGACTCCTTTTAAATTGCATCCTTACGTTGAACACTTATCTCGTACCCAGATCCCTTGTCCACAAGACATCTGGGTACGAGATTAGTTGGGCACATAACAAGTCCCGGGGAACTCCCATATAAAAGTGACGGGGATGCTCGTCACAAAATTAAAATTAAACCTCTAAGGGAGATCAATGTGGGTGTGGCTAGAAATTAAACTGGCCCCTAATGGAGACCATGCTGAAACGGACATGACATCGTAAATTTCTGCATGTACAGTACAGCCCTAATACAAATGATACCTGAATGGGCAAATATGGTGACTTTCCGTCCCAAAAACCCGAAGTGAGACCTAACGCTACAATTTAAATCCCTTGCTAAGCGAGACGGCAAGGATCTCCGTTACTTTCATAATTATAATCCCTCCCGGGCAATAAGTGATGCAATAGTAGATGTAAATGATTCTTTGATTCTTGTTTTCAGAAGACAATAGAGCATAGTCAACTAATTAACTTCCTTCAGAATACGATTAACATAAGGAGAAGAGCTAAGTGTCTCCAAATTACGCCGACATATCCATACAAGAGATCGAGGCAGGAGTTTTAAGAAGCCGCTTTTTATTATACTACTTATACTCGAACCTTGACAAAATGGCTGTCTGTACCACAGCTCTAGATATCATGTGGACACAGTGAAGGTTCTGCTATGATCACCGAGTTCATATTTATAGTGTAGTAGGTTTTAAGATCGGGGTAGGATGCGTTTGAATCCGGAGGCAGAACTTATATTGCAGCTTAAGTCAAGTTCATAGTTTTGTTTACTTATATTTACTTAAGTTTGTGTTTTATGACGCTCTTTAAAGTTTTAACTTACTCAATGGATGCCTGGCCTGGGAAAAAACAGCAACTCCCCAGCAAATAAAGCCATTTAGCGTGCCAAACCCAAGCAGCTACAACCACTAAATCGTAACAAAATGCGTTTTCTTTCGTAATGCATGCTGCTCGCTCCCCAGTATGGCTGAAAGTGTAAGCACCAATAGGAACCTTCAGTGTGAAGTAGATAGTTTCCATTTTCTTTCCGCGAGGTCTTGTGTCGTTATTTTGACACTGTTAAGACATCTCAAGAGATGGGAAACGGCACAGAGAGAAACTTTTAGGGCGTCAACCAGGATGTGCAAATTTCACTCAAGTTATTTTTAGTGGGTTTGAAACGCCATCAAGGCCTTGCGCAACTGCCTCAAAGCAAACAATGCAGAATGTTGTAATGGCACCTGTTCAGTTCTCTCGACAACATTGAAAAAAGGTTTGCGGACCTCTCCGGAAACCAACTTCCGATTTATTCAAAACGTTTAATCGGTCTAAGAATAGCTTTGGTGAAATTCACCCATCGCGGGCTTGACTGGGCGTTTCCCGCTCTGTTCCATTAAAACCCAAACGTTTTCATTACTGACTTTTAGTAACTGCGTGTAAACTGTCTCTAGGAAATGTTTATCAAGTGCAGTGTAATAGTTTTTAATTAGACGCCTGTGTTCATGCTGTTTGATCAGTGGTCATTATTTTCATTGCTTCGTCGGTGTGGCCAGCAGTAGTAGTAAGATTCCAGTAGCGCACAAGAGCCTTGAAAAGCCAATAAAATGTTTTTGTATCATTGCTTATCTACATTTTTAGGTACTAAGTGTGATAACCCAGGCAGGTTCGTTTAGGACTTCGTCGCTCAAGATATCTGCACAGGGGGGTGCAAATTCTGTGACCGTACGCGTTGGGATCAACGGGAGTATCGAAAAACTTCACATAATCGTTACATACATGTACTGCCACGAATGCTCACATACAGACCAATATAATCGTTTTTTATCTGTAATGTTGTGTATTGTCGTTCTTGCAGTTGAAAACGGGGAATTTTTAACTAGCGATTTGAAAAGTGTACGTTCGACGCTTTGATAGCTAAACGAAAAAACAAAGCATTTCAGCCAGGTAAAAAACAAACAAACAAACAAACAAAATTACAAAGGCTGAGGCTAGGGGTGTGTGTTGGAGGTTTGCCCAGCGGACATACGGCTTTTCCAGACCAATAACTAAAAATAATTTATAAGCGTGCAAGTCATACGTACAGGGTGTCTTGAATCAGACAAGACGCAATCGCTTTATAGAAGCTGTTACTCAAGTATTTTAAACGTTTAAAATAGGTTTATTTGACTATTGAAGTGGGCTCTCTACGCTCCTTGTACAAACGGTCCAATAAAAAATATTTCGTTACTACGTGCAACCTCACAAAAATAATTTTAAGAAGTGAGACCTGTATTACTTGCGAGAAATTCTACCTTGTATATCATCGTAAATGATTCCGCGTGAATTAAAATACTGAATAAAAGATCAAGAATCACCAGTTCGTCAATGATTCGTAGATGTAATCCATAATTCTTCTTCGCAGTTTTTACCCGCTCATTTCGTAACTTGGCAAAAATCCCTTTGCCAACTTGAATTTGGTTTTTGCCATAAACGTGATTCACAATCTACTCTAATTAAAAAAAAACAACAACAATTGGAGCTGCTTTTAGCACAAGCTAGCACACAGTGCAAACACTATAATCCTCCCAATATGAGATACATTTGCAAAATATCTACATTAAAAAAATAACAAAGTGTACATCCATTGATTAAAAGGAAGTTCAGATTGTTTTGAACAAAATAATAGGCGGAAGTCTATTCTAGTCTAAAATGCACCTACATGTAAGCAAGATAGCGCTGCACACAAATTGAGTTAAAAGTACCACTGATAGCAATTACAAAAACTAAAAAGCGGGGCAAAAAAATAGACGCCAGTTCCCCGCCAAGGCGGGCCCATAAATACAATAATTGTATGGGGCAAGCTAACGTGGTGTGGAATAAAAAAGTGTCTACGAAAGACACAATTAATATGAATGTGCTCTTCAGACGCAGTTGTAACCACCTATCGAGATGACGAGTTCTCTACTTACTATCTACGCCGCTGCAGTTGTCCCTTTCGTAAACGGTCGCTGCCATTTTTAAAAAACTTAATTGGAATATTTTTGAATGATAGGAAATTGCAAGCCAGGGTCAAACCCGGACCTCGAACCTGCGCATTTCCCTCACTACCATACCAAAACCCGCCAAAATTCCGAAGTACATACACTAGCAAACTATCTTTCTTAACTGTTACATCAGTAACAGGCGACCCTAGCCCTTTCCAAAACTTTTAATGTAAATTCAGGCAACTTGTGTTTCAACGTCGTTCTTTACAAGACTATTCAAGAACGTATTATTGACTTTATTGTAGGTTAATCCTGGGAATATTATTACATCTATGATGACTAAAGGATTAGTTACCAGCGGTGGAATCGACCGTTAAAAATGGCAACGACCGTTTACGAAAGAGAAATGGACCACGCCGCTACTACATGTAGTTACGAATAAGTTTATTTAAATTATTTGTACAATAAATAATAATAATAAATAAGAATAATAATAATAATAATAATAATAGTCCCATATTAACTAAGGGACTTTTAATACTCAAAATTGAAAGTAATGAAGCATTAATTCATTGTTGACAAAAATGTACTGAGTATTTTACAAAAAGTAAATATTAAAACCCCACAAATATGTTATGAAAAGCTTAGTCTTTTGGGGACAGGAGACTAATAACACAGCTGCTGTAAAAAGAGGTCTACAATATGACCAACTGCAAGTATCTAACAAAAAGCATTGCTGCTCAGTACAATTTAGCCACGTTAAGCCTCATTCTAAGTTTAAAAACAATTTAGTAAAGTTTAGCTAGGTTTGCAAGGTACAAAACAGTCTAAAATTGAAAACAAACTGCCAACTCGAAAACTATGCGGCCTAAGTGGCCCCAGGGTCATCCATTTTTGGCTCCTTTCTTCTCAAAGGGTTTTGAACAAAATTGTCCTTACACGTACATAACTATTTATCTATCAATTAATTAACTAATTCATTTATTTATTCGCATTCTTTTTATTACTTATTTTGTTTCTTGTCAAAACAATTGAGAACATAAGGTAACTCATGATAAAGGTCTCAAGAAGTGTGAAACCAAACCCAAACCAAACCCTTTGCCAAGGGGATATCTCCACCTTTTTGCTGACTCACAGACAGAAAATTGTGCAAGGGCCTTTTTTCTTTGTCGTTTAGTTTGCTTTACATTAATTTTTCGTTTTGTTTTGTTTTGTTTTTTTGCTCCCTTCTTTTAGAGTTAACAACAGTTGTGTATTTATCTCCATGGAAACAAATGATGTAACCAGCATCAGTGTAGACTTTAAGACGACAAACAGTTGTCACAGCAATGGAAGACCTCCACCGCTGACTACATTTCGTTTTCTCTTTGCAGTAATTTCTTTTGAAAGTAATTTGTTTGGAGAGCTTGCCCCTTTGCTTTACATTTTGATGATCTTTTTTCAGTGTTTGTTATTGTCTTCTACACAAAGACTGAGACAAGTAAGATGTCACAATTGTAACACAAGACATCATCTCTTATACTCAAATTGGCAACAATACCAATGCGCTGATAACTGCTGTTTCATGGCTTCTTACTTTAGTTGCATTTTTCTTGTTCCTTTTAGGGAGGACAAGGATGCTGCATAATAGTTAGCATGTAAATTGCTGACTTGTTCTGATTTTTGCTGTTTCTATTTTGTTTTGATTATTGTGGCTTTTATTTTGGTTTTTGTTCTGTTTTGATTTGTTCTTTTGTTTTTTTTTTTTTGTTGTTGATTTTGTCTATATTTCTTGATTTGTTGATTTTGCTAATATGATTTCCCCAGCTGGTCGGTATGTCTTAAACATAACTTTATAATTATCATTTTACATATTAGTTAATGAAATTCACACATCTTCACAATCATGACCACCAAGTTAAGATATTTTAGTAAGTATTATCAGTTTCTCATTCACTGCGATAATACTTGAAATGTTGGCTCAGGATAATCAAGGATGGCTTCCTAAGGCTATACCGAATAGGTTTTGCACCAGCACAATAACCATCGGATTTCTTTAACAGAACAAAAGCCGCATTGATTTTGAAAGTGGAGTCTCACATATTGGATAAGTGTTCCACTATACCAGATCTACTGATAAGCGGCATGGTGTGAGCATAGCCTAAATCTTGGGCTGGCTTTACTCTGTGATGCAAACTCAACAAAATGCCTTAAGGTGATGCTGCCATGTTTGATAATCCTTTGCAAATTTTGGGCTGAACTTAAATTTTGAGGAATTATGGATGTGTTGATATGAATGACCAGCCCTGAGTTACACACAGCTGGTGAGTTCTTGATTTCTATAGAAGTCAAAGACACGGTTTACAATGTCATGTCGCCCTAAGTAATGCAGCGCATGAACAAAACATCTTACAGTAACAACACTCTTTAGAGTAACTAGTTTATCGATTAACACCTTTGTTGGACTTCCCCCTTGTCGGAGGTCTTCTCTCTTTATATGGTTGAGGTCACTTCTAGAAAGTCCAAGCTTCCGCCCTACATCATACCAGTTTTTGGCCTGTGCCTTATTTTCATCCAACCCGCTCACAATGATCAACTCAACATCATAATCTATGTCATCAATTTTCACTCCTGCAAACAGAGAAAAGCCGATAAAAAAAAGAGCTCAACAATCACTACAAAATCAAAAACACTTTAACTAGCAGATGTAATGTAGCAGAATTTCAGTAAGCGTAGTTCCAAATTTTAAGCCTTTTACTTAGATTATGAAGTTTCCTTTTTGTAAAAGTGATAACTAAATCCGAGAAGTGAAAGAATAAGAAAACTTCAACATCAGAAAAACAAAGGGAATTTATTAGACAAGCTTTGAAAATCGTACATGAGTGGAATGGTCATCTAGAATTTTTTAGCTGTACTCTGGACAGCTATAGAAAAATTTTAGGCAATATTAATTTCCTCCTTTAGAAGGATAATTCACAGAAAACAGTCCTTAGGTGGCCATGATGAAATAATGACAATGACCATGAAGTGAAAATTGAATTGCTAGAGAAGACCCATTTTAAAAGCCAAAAGCAAACTGTTTGGTGGAAATCAAACCCAGAACCTCAAGATTACAGTAATCTACAGGTACTGCTCCTGGACTCGCTGATTAGGCCAAATGGGAGTAAGACATTGGTGCGGTATGAATAAGGTTATTAATTTTGTGGAGGTTGGAGAGAGAAAGTGAAAATACTGCAGGTGAGTGACACCCATCAAGGGATACATGTAGATGGGGATGATAGTCAAATTTTGATTTACATATTATCAGTCACCAATCATCATCTTATAAGCAATGAAGAAATGACAATAATTTGCACATGGACCAATCTTGTGTAAAGTATTGGGAGTACTTGGATTTTTTCATGCTCTGAGCCAAATGTGTCACTGATTGAATTTAATCATCTTCCTCAAACTTGAAAATGTATGCTCAAGTTCTTCAGATTAAATTTTTAAAATTTACGTTTTGGCAGAATCTATCTTTCTCTTTTTCAATTTTGGGGGAGAAAAAGGTTGACTTCTCTGAGCATTGAGTACCTGACAAGTTTCATTGGTGATTGGTGGGTATTAGTTACAGTGCATAAAAAAAAACTATAACATTTCTGCAGGCAGAAAGTGAACGGAACATTATCAAAACATAGCAAGTTTGAGCTTAATCTATTATGCCTGGCTCTACATGTACAAGGACAATTAAAATATTGATGTTCAGTTATAAACACTAATTGACACACACCCTCTGGAATGCACTTCAGTTCTTCCTCAAAGGTTTTTCTTTCCAGGATGGCCCTCTCACAGTCAGCACTACATCCAGGACCTATATTACCAAAGGTGTGGGAAAAAGTCAAGACCTTGAATCAGGCAATAAAGTCTAATACAAGAATTATTTTTAAATGGTTCTTGTAAAACCCACCCCTACATCCACCTTCCAGGGTAAAGAATGCCCCAAGAATCCCGTAAGAAGCTGATTTATTAAATGGCTGAATCCATAAGTGGACAAGATGAAGGGAATCATGACTGTGTTGTGATTGGCTACCTGAGTAGGTGAAATAAGCCCAATTCTTCCTTGCCCACTCCGAATTTCCCGCGTTG